TTGAATATTTGGGAAAATATCATCCAAATTACGTAACATATAGGGATCAAAGTGTAGGTTTAGTTGAAGACATTTGACATTTGGCATAGTTTTTGTGATCAGCGATGATAAGTCAATACCATATTCATCATTAGAAAGAAGTCCCAAATGTTGCAATTCTGTCAAATACTCAATTGGCTGAATGTGTGGCACCTGTAATAGTATATCATAATACAGTTTAATAATGAGTTAGATTTAATAACTATTTTGATAATCTTATATTAGCTAGACTATACGCAAAATAACGCTATATCTCTTAATAATTTTTATAATAAATAATAAATCATTTAATATTATTTTAATATAACTTACTGGAGAATCAAATGCATACAAAAGTTTAGTCAATTGAGGCATTTTGAGGCAAATAAATTCAATGAGAATATTCTCGTCATAACTGGGAACTCCGAAAACAATCACTTCACTTATGTTGACTGCCTTTCCATAGACCAGTGCTTTCATTGAATCCAAATTAGTTCTGAAGCATTCAATTAGTGATAGTTTCGATAGACTATGATTGAGATGATTGAATATATGAGTTAATGGGTGTCTATAGTAAGCCAAATGTAATTCCTGTATATTCTCGCAGTTTTCAATCAATTCTGTGATTTCAATGTTTGCAAAATGATTGTCTGAAAGTATCAAATGAATGAGTTTTCTTTGGGACAATACTTTCCAAATTCTGGGCCATTCGTAGTCATTGAGACCCTGGATGGCTATCAATGAAATGCATTTAATTTGCTGCAGTTGTCCCACAATCCATTCCAGTGTCCCTACGCTTAGGGAACAGTCGCAGAGATACAGGTATTGTATGTTTGGACACCGAATCAGCACTGAAGACAAGTCATCGTTAGTTATGTTGTGTTTATTAATCCAACAGTTGTTTTGTCGAAGTCCTGGACCTAACGGTTCAAAAGAGGTTATACTTTTGAAGGGTTATTGTTTTGAGTCAAGAATCGTGTTCTACATCTCGAATAACTTAAATAATAATTTTTTTATATATCTTAATAATTTTCTAGATACAGTATAATTTTTAAAAAATTATTTATCAATTTAGCTAAAAATAAAAGTGTTATGAAGTGGAAATTAAAAATGTTTTCATCAATTGGGTTTCATATGAAATGTTTAATTAAGAATTGAAAGCAAAACAAACACAATAAGAGTTTTGACATACATTCGTGAATCTTATAGTTAATATCATTGCAGTTGTAATGATCCCTTAAACTGGATTTGAGACCAATTTTGAGCACTTTTTGTGCACTAAATGTTTGAACAATTAATTGATGCCAACGAAGGCAAACGCATTCAAGTAATTGTTTTTGGTTTATATCGAAAAAGTCGAAAATATCTTTCAGACAGTCGTCGTTCAACTCATTTCTTTTTGTGCACTAAATGTTTGAACAATTAATTGATGCCAACGAAGGCAAACGCATTCAAGTAATTGTTTTTGGTTTATATCGAAAAAGTCGAAAATATCTTTCAGACAGTCGTCGTTCAACTCATTGATATTCATTGCACTCATAGTTGTCATTCAATTATAACTAGAATTTTATGGCAAAAACATTAATTTTGCAAATCATATGCCATTACAATGAGATTGAAAGAGTAAAATAAGAAAATAAAATATGATTTTCAAAATGGATTTCACATTTGTATGGATTAAAAATAGAGTGACAATAAAAATATCCATTATTTTTGGCTCTATTCCAGAATTTGCAGCAAAAAAACATTACATATAACGCTCTAACCATTCATTTCTACTTTCAAACCATATCGAAAACTATTAAAAAAATTAAATTATAGTAAATACTAAATTAAATTTATAATTTTAAATTATCTTATAATAAAAATTTGTAAAAATAAATATTCACTTGCTAATTTATTGCACTTATAAGAATATTCCATAAACTTTAACATTGATACTATAGATATCTGTATATCATGAAGAATATAATACATTGTATGGCCTTTAAATAAATCTGATTGTACACTAATCCTAGTGTTATATGAATTTATTGATTACAGTAAATAATCTGTTATTCATAATAAATCTATTATCTAAAATCAATTACTAATAAATATTTAATTCCGTGTTTAATAGATAACTTTAACATTGATACTATAGATATCTGTATATCATGAAGAATATAATACATTGTATGGCCTTTAAATAAATCTGATTGTACACTAATCCTAGTGTTATATGAATTTATTGATTACAGTAAATAATCTGTTATTCATAATAAATCTATTATCTAAAATCAATTACTAATAAATATTTAATTCCGTGTTTAATAGATATGAAAAACTGCTCACAAATAAGTAGCAAAAAGTGTATAAAATTTATTTAAAAAAAGTTTCCTTTAAATAAATCTGATTGTACACTAATCCTAGTGTTATATGAATTTATTGATTACAGTAAATAATCTGTTATTCATAATAAATCTATTATCTAAAATCAATTACTAATAAATATTTAATTCCGTGTTTAATAGATAACTTTAACATTGATACTATAGATATCTGTATATCATGAAGAATATAATACATTGTATGGCCTTTAAATAAATCTGATTGTACACTAATCCTAGTGTTATATGAATTTATTGATTACAGTAAATAATCTGTTATTCATAATAAATCTATTATCTAAAATCAATTACTAATAAATATTTAATTCCGTGTTTAATAGATAACTTTAACATTGATACTATAGATATCTGTATATCATGAAGAATATAATACATTGTATGGCCTTTAAATAAATCTGATTGTACACTAATCCTAGTGTTATATGAATTTATTGATTACAGTAAATAATCTGTTATTCATAATAAATCTATTATCTAAAATCAATTACTAATAAATATTTAATTCCGTGTTTAATAGATAACTTTAACATTGATACTATAGATATCTGTATATCATGAAGAATATAATACATTGTATGGCCTTTAAATAAATCTGATTGTACACTAATCCTAGTGTTATATGAATTTATTGATTACAGTAAATAATCTGTTATTCATAATAAATCTATTATCTAAAATCAATTACTAATAAATATTTAATTCCGTGTTTAATAGATAACTTTAACATTGATACTATAGATATCTGTATATCATGAAGAATATAATACATTGTATGGCCTTTAAATAAATCTGATTGTACACTAATCCTAGTGTTATATGAATTTATTGATTACAGTAAATAATCTGTTATTCATAATAAATCTATTATCTAAAATCAATTACTAATAAATATTTAATTCCGTGTTTAATAGATAACTTTAACATTGATACTATAGATATCTGTATATCATGAAGAATATAATACATTGTATGGCCTTTAAATAAATCTGATTGTACACTAATCCTAGTGTTATATGAATTTATTGATTACAGTAAATAATCTGTTATTCATAATAAATCTATTATCTAAAATCAATTACTAATAAATATTTAATTCCGTGTTTAATAGATAACTTTAACATTGATACTATAGATATCTGTATATCATGAAGAATATAATACATTGTATGGCCTTTAAATAAATCTGATTGTACACTAATCCTAGTGTTATATGAATTTATTGATTACAGTAAATAATCTGTTATTCATAATAAATCTATTATCTAAAATCAATTACTAATAAATATTTAATTCCGTGTTTAATAGATAACTTTAACATTGATACTATAGATATCTGTATATCATGANTATAGCGCGTCGACCGATATAATCACCGATTTGGACACCAAGGACATTCCGCTAGATTACCGGACCTGGACAGTCCTATTATACCATACCATACGAGTATAATTCACTCGGTTTTAATTGCAATTAGCGGGATCACTTCCCGTTCTTGCATTATTAGTTATATAGCGTATTATTTGTAATTTAGAAACAATAACAAACTGTAATAATAAATTACCCAAAAATATTAATTTAATAATTTATGTGATTTCTATACATTTGGTTGACTATTTCTATAACTAATTAAAATTTTATAATAAGCTTTAATAAATAATTATGATAAATAATAAAAATGCTATTATTTGTAGTTTTAAGTATTTATCTCATTATTTGTACACGCCCAATTAATTGGTATTATTTAATTTTTTAAATAGAGATTATAGACTTCTTTGTGCTACAGTTTCCTCTACTGGACTCCGGTATCAAACAAATCAAGTCGACTGAAGTTAAGGCTAAAAATTTGCAGCAATTAATCAATGATTTGTCACTAGCGGTGCCAAAAACTATGTAAAAGTCCCGGTAAACAAGTAATCAAATTGTGGCTCGATCAGGTGGACATTGGGTGCACAAAAATGTAAATGTTACTTGAACAATTAAATAAATAACTTTAAGAAAACAATTTATTTTCAAAAATATATTGATACATATGAAACAATACATATTTTACATTTTAAAGTATTATATAATTTTGGTTTCAATATGCACTAATCAAGGTGTTTTAGAACCAAAATAATGCAATTAATACTAAAACATTACATGACCGTGTACTGTATACACTTATGTTATCATTGTCATGATTTTAATAAGCATTGAGTGCACTAGATCATATACGCAATTTTGTTTAAACTTATACAATTATTAATGCTATAGATAAATTATATAAGTAAGCATATACTGGTACATATGTGCCAGTGAAAGTTGAAGGGAACTCTGTACTTTTAATGAATGATACTGTGTTCATATTGATTAAGGTTTATTGGGATACCAATACAATAAAAAATAAAGCATTCAATGCTAATAATTTTAAAACATTAAAGGCACAGAGTTCCCTTCAACTTTCACTGGCACATATTATCTCACATGCACATCTATGCACAAGATATGATTTAAATATGAAACCTTGATCAAATGAGAAATTAGTACAAAATAAGGGCTGAGCTTATTTCAAATTAAAAAATGATGGGGCTGAGAAATACACATGTAACAGTTGTTAATTTAATAAAATTTATTAAAAGTTTCATGATCGTTTGGCATAAGTAAACTTATAAAACATTATCTACAATCATATCCAAAATAGTATACACTAATTGTCATATAATTTATCTAGGCCGTTATATAGTTCCCAAGTTAAGTTTCCCTATAAATACTCTGTACGCCTAGAACATAAATATTAAATGGTTTTGATCACTTATATATTTCTAAATACAGTTATTAAAACAAACCTTATACAATGAAAAGTATCGGTATAATTTTGGCTATATTTATTTCAACACAATCAGGTAACATTCAAAAACAATACACATTCTAAATTATTTTTTAACTAGCTACCATGCTACATTTTACCGTATTATACAGCCTATGGTTACCACATATCAGACACCGATGAATATGTGGACGAATTTTACGACGACCTGACCATCGCCGAGATCAAGGCCTACATCAACAGCAATATATCGGCTACCAGTGCTCTAATGCGCGAAACTGAGATCACGTACGTGAGGGACAACCGTCAAGTGGTGGCCAACTTCTACGAGGCTGTAATCGAGTGGGTGAACCGGGCGGTGCCCATAGCTTACAAGGACCTGGATGCCGTACAAAATGTGACAATAAGGACCCAGCTGTATTCAACATTTGCCAACTCAGTGAACGCGTTTTATAAAATAGGACAGGCAGCTTATAAGGAAAGGGCTGGTCACGCGTTGAACGTAACTGACACGGCTGATAATTTGGCTAAAGAATTGGTGGCCACTGAGACCAAGTTGATTAATTTATTGACCCAGGCCATTGAGCATGAGAAACAAAAGGGTGTGGAATTTGCGCCAGTTGCGCATCAGGCTGTAAGTGTTTATATAATATATTATCATGGAACTTTTATTTTTATTTTTTTAATTAATTTTTACTCATTTTTAGGTAAAGGACTTTCTTGTGCTACAGTTCCCGCTACTGGACTCCGGTATCAAACAAATCAAGTCGACTGATGTTAAGGCCAAAAATTTGCAGCAATTAATTAACGACTTGGTGCTGGCTTAGTTAACATAATTTGAAATTATTAAATAAAAATCTTATAATATTAAATTTGTTTGCTGACACTTTTTAGTTAATTAGTAAAATTAATTATTTATTTGCTTGTTGATTATACAATATATGAATAAGTTTTTAAAAATAATTTATACCTGTATATTTATACTCACTTAATCATTGAATTAAAAATAAATTTGATATAATTACACTTGAACATTACGCAATTTTAATTATCTAAAGACATCTAGATCCTATTATATTATACGTACAAAATAGGTACACATAATCTATATTAATTATCAAAATAGAAATTAATTATAAATATTATTTACAATGCAAAAACGGGAATTGTTCTCGCTAAATGTAATTAAACCCGACTGAATTATACTGGTATAGTATGGTATAATAATAATATCCAGGTCCCGTAATCTAGCGGAATGTGTTAGGTGTCCAAATCGGTGGTTATATCGGTCGACGCGCTATAAAAACTCTATACTTTTTGCTGTGAAATACATTCATTCCTAATATCGTAACTCTGACTCGTTTTTACAGCAAAAAGTATAGAGTTTTTATAGCGCGTCGACCGATATAACTATTAATATTTATTTAATAAATTTTTCAATCAGGTAAAAACATATTGTATTTCAAGTAAATTAAATTGCTATGATGTTTCTATAACTATAATCAACAGATTTAAGTAAGTCTTAATTAATGAGATATTTAAGAATTTTGTGTTCATTTAAAACTCGGATCTAAATTATGAAATATGTGAACATTGAGTTGTTTATTGAACTTTATATGAGAAATGCTGCATAATTTGATGGCAGAACTAGTCAGTCATCATAACATTAATTTGTTTGTAGTTTTCTTTTCATGTAAACCTGTTAAACATATCGTAATATCAGTCAATGATTTTGATTGTTATGCAACGACAATTGATTTCCACTGATTATAAATGCTTATAAAAATAAAAGTACCGTAATATTACTAATATACATATGAATTTTGCATACATTGTATGAAAACCAGAATTTTAAAGCGATTACGAATCACTGGCATGAGTGCGAAAAGTGTTGAGGAAATTGTATCCATCAAAATGTATAGAAAATTCATTCTCTTATATAAATATCAGTTCTGAGAATATAATCGTTTGGCAAAAACGAGTTTTATATTTAATAACATAACAGATGCAATTACTTTTTCAAGTATTCATGTGTTTTCATTTCATAATATTAGTCTGTTTTATAACTTTAGACAATTTTTCTCTTACAGAGAAAAGATAGTTAAAAATATTTTATGCTTTGTACTAAATTTCTAATAATTAATGTTTTATTTTTGAAAGTTTTTAAGCATTGGAAACGAAAGCAATTTTTATGATAAAAATGGATAACAAAAGTGCGAAAGAGGACGTGATTGTCAAAAATAAAGGATCACTCATTCAGACCATTAAGTCATTTGAGAGATGTATGGCTGACATGAAGTCCACGGTCTTAGTGCCCACTCGTCTCAACGATATTGACTCCCAAACTATGGCTAAGAGTGGAGTCAACTGTATTCGCAGTGATAATGAAAACTTGTATAATGTTTACAACGATTTACAGAAAATAAGTAAATTATTGTACGGCGATAGACATCAATCGGACCTCAAATATGCAAAGTATGTCTCAGTTTTATTGTAATATTTAGAGAATGTATCAATTTAGTATATCAAACTTATTAATATTTAGCTATAATTTTAATTGTATTTTTAAAAAGGAAAGCAATATAAGTTTGAAAGTTATTTTACGACTTAATGCAGTATATTAATAAGTTATATAATATTTAATTAATGAAATTAAAAGTTCAATAATTTTTAGGATTTAATTTACATTTAATTACAAATATATTTAATAATGTTTGAATAAGGTTTTATTATTTTTGAGCGCAATATGCAAAACATTGTAATGATATCATATAATTGTGAGTTCAATCCACTTTTACTCAAACCTCAATTTCAGATATCATTGAATTACTAATTGAAAGAAAATCATTTATTATAAATACAAAAACACAATATAAATATAAATATCATAATTCTAATGAAAATGTGGAACAAAAGGAAATTTCTGATTAAAATTTAAGTATTTAAGAATCAAGCATATATTATTTGATATAAAGTTTAAAAAACAAAATGTTATTTGCTTTTACTCTAATTTAATATTTCTAATCAATCACTTGTTTGTCCAAATGGCAGTCCAATGGATTTGAACGGCAACAGCATTAGCAAGAGTTTGCATAACGAATGTCTTCCCAAAGACGACAACCTGTTGACTAAACTTGATTATCATGTCAGACACATGAGAGTGATTTTGAATGAATTGTGCGGAACTGCTGGATATATAACCAATGTTTATAAGGAAGACGTCCAGAATATGCACATGAATTACAATCACATCGAGTATAACAACAGTGAGATTAAGCACTACTACACCAGCAACTCATCCAACTCACCCATCAGCTAATTGTCTCCTCAATTGAACTCCACTTTTGAAATCTTTGTTTCTAAATCCAAAAAATTAAGTCATTTTATTTCTACTTAAGATTATTTATATTATGATTATATGTTATAGTATAATATTTCTTTCAATTTTCCCAAATTTATTCAACAAAGTGAACGCAACATCAATTTATTCATTTTATTCAATCACATTTAAATTGTTTAATTTTAACATAAAGTTTCATAATTGATGGAAACACATAATTTTTTAATTCTTTAAAATAACATTGCTATAAAATGTGTTCGTTTACTTTTTATTTTAATATTTCCTTTTATTTAATATTTTTATTCGTTAAAATTGTAAATTTTAAAAATCTTAAATTTTATAAATCAAAAATAAATGATTAATATTTGCTCTATTTATAAAATCTGTATGTTATAAGTCATTGCGTTTTTAATTTTGTTACTTATGATCATTAATTTTGTCTACATGCGACACTTAAATTGAAAAAATTAGACAATTAGTTTGTGTCACTAATTGACTATTTGAATGAATTTGTTTTATTGACGCACAAAACGAGTTCATATTGAAGTTGTGTGATATCTGTATAATGTTTGACTAATTGTCAATTTAGACTCTTTTCAGACTGATATATAGGACTAACTTTTTTAATTAAATCAAACTTTTCCTCAATTTGAGTTAATTTTAATGCAACCCTTATTGCATTATTCTATAAGAAAGCATTTGTTAAGGAATACAATATTAATGACCAACACATCAATATTGGGGTTAAATAAAGAATTTAAACAGTATTTGTTTGACTTGACTCGTGAGACCAAACTACAAATATTTCTATCTATTGAACTTCAGAGTAAATGACAATTTATAACTGTTTGACACCAATTGAATGATCCAAATAAGTTATACTCATTCATTCAAAACTTTAATTTTGTTTTGTTTTCCAACTTTCAATGGAATATAAAACTGATATAAATTAGTAAATAATATTGATTACTTTACTGTATAAGTAATATTTTATTCTGAATTCCAATTTTTAATACTATAATCAAAAGATATACTGAAGAACTATGGTTTGATTAAATTAGTTGTGATATCTTAAGAGCATTATACAATAAGTATATGCTGTATTGTACTGTACCATACCGTTATTCTGTATAATACGGTATAAGGCTCACAATATTATCAAAATAAATTATATTGTTAATCCAATATGGTATAATGCATATTTTATAAATTAACCAGAGAAACAGAACTCATGGAAATTGTTTGGGTTATTTCTTACAAACTATTATTGGTATATTAATGGTATAGTTAAAAACGTGATTTTATTACTTTGCAAAATAAATAATGCATTGCAATTTTCAATTTGCAATTTATATTGAATTCATTCTGTACAGTACAGTAGTATTATATTAAATTTAAGAAGACTTTCACCGCTACAAAAACTAAATCTAATTGTAGTTTAAATTTTCTAACAATGCAAAAACGGGAATTGTTCTCGCTAAATGTAATTAAACCCGACTGAATTATACTGGTATAGTATGGTATAATAATAATATCCAGGTCCCGTAATCTAGCGGAATGTGTTAGGTGTCCAAATC